TCACACACACATGGAAACCTCTCAACGCGTGCGTGGCGGCGATGTCCACTCAGTTTGGTTCGGTCTGATGACGAAGCGCCGTTCGCCTCCTTGGAGCAAATCAGCGCCTCAGCGGGGATCTGAATTGGGATGTCTGATCTGCTCTAGTTTTTGTCATTGCAAGCTCATTGTGGTGGGTCAATGCACCGATATGTATATATATACACTTATTGTTTGGTCTAATATATATATATATACATTATTTATAATCAATATGTATAAAGTCCATTTCTATGAGACATTCTGGAAATTTTCTGATGAAACTCTATGAGCTGGCACTCACAAAGTCTGCAGCTGCAGTTCACACCAAAAAAGACTTTTAGCATTATTGTAGTCCACCCAACCTCAAAATTCCTGCCCAATCTCAGCTCCTGACTTTCATCTGCTCAGGGTATCTCAGGCTGATGTGCCTCAACACCTGGCAGACAAACAAGAATTGAACACCTGTCAAACGCATGCCCGTCATGCAAGATGTGTTTGAAGGTCGACCAGCCTTCTATCATCCAAACGGAAACAAAAGAGACCATGTTAAAAAATATATATAACTATATAACTACAATTACAACATATCTACCGAGACATCTCCGAAGTGTAAAAGTACAAGAGTGTAAAAAGTGTGAAGTGTACACTTCATGCTAAAAGTTAAGTGTACATCTCTCGAAGGCATGGAAAGCATGGTTCGCCAAAGGTTCACGTATTGACAAGCTGCTGCATGGAAACGAGGCTGCTGCAAGGTCATGAGCATCACTAGCAAAACCACCAGGCCATACCAGTAATGAATGGATTTACCCCTGGGACGAGAGCCAAATACGATATGAAGCAAGCTGTCCACAAGCAAGCTGTCCACTAACCCATGGTGGATGTGGAAACCACTGATTTTCCGTGCTCCCCTCTTGCACTGACTAGCAAGTCCCCCTGGTCAGGACGTGCGCGCGGCGCTCCGGCACCCAAAAGTTCTGCGTGGCAGCAGCGAAGGCCAAGAAACTTTGTCCGGCCATATTCACCTGCCGAGTTCTTCAAAGGCTATTCCAAACTACTTATTTTGCAGTTGGATTTGCATGAGCCTCTGAGAGGTTGGGTTTCTAGGCGTCAGGGTGGGCTTGCACGGGTTTTTGCGTTGAAAATGGTTGAAACTACCTGGGCCCCCACCGCACACATCAATGTTTATCCAGGTCCTAGGAATACCTAGGTGAAGTGTCTGATATTCGGAACCTTGGAGGGCCGAAAGCAGTCTACCTCACCTAACTGCAGGTGACTGGCTTACTCCAAATAATCAGCTTCTGGAGCTGGTCGGTGGTGCCCAAAGGATCGTTCCTTCAAACAAACCCAACCCTTTGCTACCTAGCACTTCCTGTCCGGGTGCCCTGGAGTAGGAGACCTGTTTACGTGCGGTACGAGCGATGAGATTTCTATTATTGCGATCTGCACAGCTTCCAAAAAACCAAGGGACTCTGGCACTCTTCTCACCAGAAGTACGATCCCAAAGTTTGGAACAAAACAATCTCTCTGAACCTAGGCAATGTCACGGAAGCCAGCCGGGGGGGCGGCGACGACCAGGGTGAACCAGCGCGGACCAGCAGCAACAGCAGATTTTCTATAGAGAGCAGCAGCAAGCCGCGGAATTGAGTCGGGTGAGAGAAGTCGATCTGGGTGAGTTGAGTTGATGTGAGTTGAGTAATGTGACGTGGCATGAGTTCAGCAGGGGGTTGAGTTGGCGATGCACGCGGCGGTAGGGGTAGATACACCACACTAGCATGCGGTGAATGAAGGATAGAAGGCCTTAAGGGCCTAAAGCCTTGCAGTATTACGCTGACTGAATATATGAATATGATGTGAGTCCAAGCCAGTCTGAAGTTCCGGAAAGTCCCTCAATGGAATTCCATCAACGGAGATCAGCCCAGCATGCCCAACGCCTTGGTAAAGAGCGACACTGGCATGGCTTCGGCGACTTCTTTAAAGATGCCCGCCGTCTCTGCTGAGAAGCTCCTGGGAACATGATCACTTTAAGGCGTCAGAAGTGCCTTAAGGGGAGGGTTGGCTGAAGTACCCCCACTTTTTGTTGTGCGAAATAACTAAATCATGTGGAAAAAAAGTCGGTCTCGGAAACTGAAGAGTTGCAGCTTCCTCCCCCTGGCAATGAATTTTGAATTTGGTTTGGGAAAGAGACTAGTGCCACCTGGCAAGGGCTTCTAAGATTTTCACTCAGCTCCAAGCTGCTGGTGGCAGACCTTTTCAAGACCGGATGTGGGCTGGATGTTCCAGGCATCAATTCATCACAGAACTGATCAACAAAAATGTCAACTTAGCTGCTGGGGGACTCCTGGTTTAGGGGTCCAGGTCTTGATCCACAGCCAATGGGATGTAATTTAGTCATATTCAATCGGGAGACAAGCGATCACCCCAATGGCTAATAATGGCTAGACTGGTCTGACTCCTTCTTCCAGCAGATCGTTGCCTGGGAGGTTTTACCCTATATATATAATTCAATAGGCGCCCAAATCCCGTAAGATTGCTTTCTCTTCGGGTAAGAGTGGATGAGCGATGAGCTGCACGAGCGAGCTCGGCGCTACGGCCAGTGTTGCCTGGTAGAAGTGTTCCCACTGGTTAGTGGATGCTGTGGGGCCCCCCATGGTCATAGCTCAGGCACCTCTGGGAGCCGCCCAAAGAACTCCTAGTCTTGACTCCATGATCTTTCCTTCATGTCCACAGAATTGCTCACCATGTGCCTACTAAAAGCCTCAGGGTTTGATCCGATTCCACTCTCGATGCCACTCTGATGTTGCGAGGCACCTGCATTGGCAAAGCAAGTGTAGCAAGGTCTCCCCCTTCCGCGGATGAACCTGAGCAGATCTGGTAGAAGTCTCGAAAAGAACACGCCTCTGCAGAATCCAGGTTCCAACAAAGGTGCGAAACAGAACAACTGCCAGGTAGGTTCAAGCCAAACCCAGCGCCCATGCCCCCCTTCACTCATCATGATGCCTCAACTGACCCACCCCGCAACCATAGAACATGCTCCCAACCAACTTGAAACGCTTTAGAAGGATCCCCTCCTTTTAAAAGGATGCCTTGCTTGTTGATGTTGGCCGTGGTGTATCCCCAATTGGCCTCCAATACGCACCAAGCTCCACCAAGCTTCAGATGGATCCGCGTCCAAACTACAAAACCCCGAGCTTGGATTTGCTGTCGAGGAAGCCGTGAACACATCGCAACAACTTCCCCCAGAAGTCGATTCACCCCTAGATCCAAAAGAAAACATCACCGGAAGCATGATCAGGTGATTGACCACCAGGTGATTGACCACCAGGTGATTTTTCACCTCAATGCACCTAACCTGCAAGGTCCAGCGATGCAGGTCCACCTCTCCGGGTTTCGGAAAGCAACGCAAGCACCGTCTCAACGCACCGTCTCGGCGAGTGAAAAGGGTGTTTTCGCATCAATCTGTGGCTTTGGATGGTCCCATCACTTGGCAGGGCCCATGATAGAGACGCACCAAGCTTCGTTGCTCTCTGAAACGATGGTGGACCTCTGAAAGACAAAGGAACTGGGGACTTGATGTCAGTCAGGAACAGGCCTGTGAAATCAAAGCGCCACCTCTCAGGATGAACAGTTCAGGCCTCTTCTCCCTTCTTGAATGAGTTTGTCATAGGATTTCAATTATCTTGCTGTAGGGGGTTAGGATACTCCTGCAACCCAACACAGCTGCTTCCCTCTTTCACATCCAGCCTCGGTCACATCCACACCTTCCTGGCCAAAGACTCGTGAACAGTTCTGTAGTGAGAGAAAACAAACAAAGTTGCCCCAAGACCAAACCCTGACACATTCGCATATATGGCATAGTTCGCCTACACTGGGGGTGGTTGAGCCGGGGTCAATGTAGGTAAATATTGCATTTTACATGGAGTGCCTGGGAAAAGTAATTATATAAACACCATGTTTAAACGACGATCTCTTCAATCGATGGGCTGCTGGGCTTTAGTATATATTGTCGTTCCACCGCAAAGGGGATTTTGGGGGGGTTCTGTTGCCTTCCACCGGGTGAGGGTTCTGTGTCGTGAAGATCAAACTTGGTGGATCTCCGATCTCGGTCTTCCAGTGGCCACTTCAAGTAGGTGGCAAGTCAGGAAGGCCAAGTTTTCTATGGACCTCATGTGACTCATGTGTGGAAAAGGGGCTCTTACTCCCTATAAGCTCTCAATCCTCGTTGTTTCTTTGGGGGGGACCCACCTCCCTCACTCTTCGTTCGATCCTGGAGCACCCCAAGGGTGATCTCTGGTCTGAACATGTCGCAGGGCGGGACCTGACTGGAACCGGATCGGCAGCGAGACTGTTCTACCCCCGTCATCCACACAAACATGGACAAACAGATCCGCACAAAGAACTAACCTAGCTATCGGTCATTCGCAGTCGATGTTTCTTTCGTGCAAAATATAATAAGTTCCGGAACAGTCGTTTTCCTCCCTACTCGCCATCTGACCGCTGGACGAACGGACCAACAGAACCTTGAAATGTTTGAAGATCTTTGAAGTACTCGGACGATCTCTTCCCCAAAATGATTGTCAAGTAGCGTCTCCTCACCGTGGTGTTCATCGGGTGAAAGGCGGGCGTGGGGCGTGGGGGGGGGCTCATGGTTTGGGGTAGCTCTCAGGATCCGACTGGAGGCTAAAGCAACAGCATGACACAAAAACATGACAACATGTGTTCAAAGGTATTAGTTACACCAGGGAAGATTCAATGGACCTTTGACAGACTATTTTCCTCTACAACCCAATCGTTTTCAGGTTCCATGTTAATCTTCCAGGGCGTATATTAGATTATTAGATCCTTTTTGATCCTATTTTTATCCATGGGACAGGCCCAGCAAGATGTCCCTACGCTCAAGCTCGGCTGAACATTCGCCGCCCCTTTTTTCAACACATCAAGCTCCGGCAGCTGCAGCAGACTACGCGGGCTCCAGCTTCCTCTCACTCGGGCAGGACGTTCTCGAGGGGCACGGTCTGGCGGAGGGGCACGAGGGGCCGTTGGGTGGAGTCCAGCCATGGAGCCGTTCAGCGGTTCCCGGAAGCCGTTGTATATCATATTCATTATACATCTTGAGTTGGGATGGGCTTGAGCGGATGGCATCAAATGATTCGATGGTGACTCTATGGGGAAAACAAAGACAAGTATACACTCGTAAAGATTAATTTTCCAGCCTGGCCAGCCCTTCGGATCTTTTCTATACTCAGACACTCCATGTCTGTCATATATGCCTACATTGGGGTGGTTTTGGGTCAATGTAGGCATATATGGCATACATGGAGTGTCTGGGATATATCAGTCAGAACCTCGATTGGAGTCCTTTCTTTGGAGTAGTCGACCAGAAAACCATCACCTCTTCACTTAAAACGTCTGAGAGCAATTGGGTAACTCCAACAATGAATAGTTCAACTGTTGAGTGGTTCCACTGTCAGGCTAGGCCGGTTGATATCCTCTTACCCCAATCCTACAAACATGCCGCGACAGCTGCTTGGATGTCCTGTCAGATCATAGATTTGTTTCACATAGGATCTGAAGAAAGGCTTCGTGAAACAGGATGAGGGCTGAGGGCAAATTAACATAGAATTCCGTACTGCCACCGAGCGCTAGTAATTTGAGTCTCATAGAACTTATGCCGTACCGCCGTACCGCCGTACAGCTGCTCCTGACCTAGAAGGAGAGTTGGCAAGTGGATGACAAGTAAACATATCTTCTGGCCGAAATAGGATGAAATAGGCTATAGGCCAGAAAATGAAATTGGCTATAGGCCAGAACATGCTTGCCTCATCTGAACGTTTGCCCCACCCACTCACCGGTTTCTAAAGCTCCGCCTCAACGAAGCCACCCACCAGTCGCACATAGCCCTGCCCCGTCTCCGGGTCACTTCCCTGCACCGGCCGCCGAACGGTGAAAACCAAAGGCCGCGGTGCACGGCGGATGTTCGGACCGAAACAAAGCATGCGGAGGGGGGGAACACATGTGTTTTCTTATATGTGTTCTCCTCCTCCGTTTTTGTCGAGTGCCTTGTAGGGATGACTGAATCTTGTGAGACCTGCATGCCTTCTTGGCATGTCTGGAGGGAATGAACAAAGAAACACATCCCGCGGCAGGGTGAGGGAAATTCGACGAACTGACCAGTGACGAGGCCCTTCTCAGCATCTGAGGATTCTCACAAACAAAAGAAAACAGGGTCAGCCACAGCTTCCCTGACGTTCCCGTGCTCACAATCAAGAGCTTCTAGTCCAACGATTCTTCAGAGTCGGAGCTCAAAGTTTTTATCCTCTCCAGCTCTGTTCAAGCAAATCGCCACACCAAAGGGATGCTTTTATTCCCATCTGTTGTTGGGAGAGCAACATCTCATACCCTAGCATTGAAATACTGTGATGTTTTGACCTTTTCAATCGGGGTTTGAACATGTTTGTACCTTTGCACTTGCCAATCCTTCTCAGTCCTACTTAGTCCTGACCATCTAAACCACACCCACTTCACACTGACCGGACGCACAGACCCACCTCGCACGCGGACGACCCGCCTCGAGCACGCATGGTCGACCGTTCAGCTCTGAAAGGAAGCCGTGTAGTCCTGGCTGGCCAGGGTTGGGCGGTGGCAAATGCATGCCAAATGCATTTCCCAGACACTCCATGTCTGTCATATATGCCGATCAGGCCAGGGGTGGTTTTGGGGGTCAATGTAGGCATATATGGCAGTCCCATGGAGTGTCTGGGTCTATGTTTAATTCATACCGTCATGCATGACGTGGGGTATCTCGTGATAGCGCCTCTCCGGTTGAAAACTTGGAACGATAGGTTAAACGTGCTTAAGTTGTCTTTGTGACATAACGAGTGCTCAACCTAAACTTTGTTTCTCGGTGTAGGATTCAATTGGATGCAAGATCCAAGTCCTGTAAATTCGATGAAGACTTTGGAGTCCCAGCACAAAAGGGACACAAGGCCACTTGATTTCTGTTGTAAAGCGACAAGTAAAGCTACTTCCAAACACATTGGAACCCTCAAAAAGGTCAACTCTGACTCCAATCCGCCACACCTGAACCCGAGGACCTCACCTCCGTACACACCTCACCTCACCCCACTGTGTACCACTCAACCCCTCCTGCCCATCTCCTGCCTCCCAGTCGTGCGCGCTCCCCCAACTTCACGGCGGCCACAGGCCGGGCAGCGGCTTCCTCGGCGGCCTCGGTGGCAGACTGACCGTGGCTTCCATGAAAAAAAAGTCCTCATTGTGCTTCTTGGCATCCAAAGAACTCTGATGATTGTGCTGGGCATGATTAGTGGACCGGATTGGTGGTAGATCTATAGAAATGGGGTAAGCAAAGCTCTGGTGGTTGAATTCATTTTAGTGAATCTTATTTGCAACAATGTATAGGTAAGAATGCTATGCTAGACTGACATAGCCTCTCGATCTGCTTGTGAAACACATGCGTCAATTCCAAGTGCAAACCGAACCCCTTCCAACAAACACATTCAAAACAAAAACACAGTGCAACTAGTGAGCCAAACTCACCTCCATACGAAAGACACAAAACTGATTTCATGTCTTTTCTCCCGAACCTCCCTCAAAAACGCCGGCCCAGAAACTACGCGGAGCCTTCGACGAAAGCGAGTCCTGAGGCCGGCCCAACGCCTGTCTGACGATGTGTGACGCGTGGCTGGGGCTCCCGGGCCTTCCTCGGCTGACCAGCAGCGCTGTTGGGTGGACCCCTTGGACCCCGTGCTGTTGAGGTCGAACGTGCCTGACCGGTTCAACGGAGAACGAAGGGATCGGAACGGGTCGGAACCCCGCCACGTAGAGTGGGGAAGCCGGTCAGAAACGCCGAAGGATTGAAGTTGCAAGTTGAATGAGTCCTTGTTTGGAAGTGAGTTGGAGTCTGTCTATGGCATCCTCTACAGGATCTTTGGATCTCTTCGGACAAATGTACTACATATATAAAGATATAAAGTAGTAAGTAAAGTGCTGTAGTATGTGCGTCAATGCCGCCTGGCAAAGGTCAAACTCACAAGGGCAGGGCCGGAAGTCTGAACAGGCCTAGACGGTCTGCTTAGGGTTTTTCATTGTTGCCATGTCCTAACAAAATCTTCCAGACTGCCATGGACTGCCAGCAATAGAACGCAGTAGAAGAAGACGGAAGCTCCCATAAAATGATGACTGACATGATCCGGAGATCTCATGGATTCCGCGGAGATCTCATGGATTCCGCGTTAGGCCCTTTCTTCATGCAGTTCTGAAGAACGACCATCATGTCCTCATGGTAGACCCGAACGACCTCATCCCTTGAGAACGACCCTGGAAGGTTGATGATAGCGACGTATCTGACAAAGCAAACGGGTGTTGCCGGTTTACTGAGCTGATGACTTTCTGTGCAGTGTCGATGAATGAATTGCACCCACTCAGGGCGCAGTGAATTGGATGAGTTGGTGCGACCGATTGTTCTGCAGCAAGAGATTAGTAGCACAACCATTCTACATTATTCCAAAGGGTCACCAATGGAATACCCCAAGTTGCAAAGACTAAACTCAAAGAGCTTAAAACCCTCAATTACAAAGCAAAATATCCTCAACCTGAAGCCACTACTGACCTTCACACCTTCTTCACCCGTGATGCCCCGACACCCATGTGAAGCCACGTCTCCGCTGCGTTCGCGTTCTCCGCTGGGTGGGCGGCTGCGTTCGCGCACGGTGCGCACGGGAGTGCTTCCTGGGGTTCGGGGGTCGGATGGGATGCAGGCATTCTAACAAGGTCCGTGAGGTTGGCCCGGAAATGTCTTTTCCTTTGGAAACATTGGAAACCAAGAGTTCTAAGTCTGGGATAGTTTGGATGATCTTGGATGATCTTGGATGGTATGAGGGTCATCCCAATCCATTTCGCTACAAAATCCGAGTGCGGCAGTGCGGTATGGACAGTCAAACCTCCAGAATGTGCGATTGACTGTCAAAACTGAACTATAGATAGAGGTGGTTGTAAGGAATTTGTTGGCCCAAATGGTATCTCATGGTATATCCATACCATCCATTACCCAAGTCCAGTGAAAACACCATGTAGAGAGGTGCTTGGCCGCACAAAGATTCGTGGAGTCCAATGTTTGGCAAAGGAATCGATGTTTCATCTTCTCTGCTTTGAACAAAAAAAGCAAGTGATGGAAAAAAAAACACAAACACATTAAAAAAGAACACATGTTTCTGAAAAGTCTACATATGGTAAGTCTGAAAGAAAAAAACACAAAAGCACACAAACAAAAGATCACCAAAAGAAGCGAAAACACACTAAAAAAAGTAGGAATAATACTACTGTTTGGAATGACACTGGTTTCCGTGGCAAGTAACACATGTTCCCAAGTAAGTTTCCTTTATGAAAATCCTTGGCCACTTACCGCGACCCGCCGCGGACGCGTAAAGGGAGCCCGCCCGCGCCTCTCGAAAGAGCCCGGCAAAGACGCCGCCTGCGAGGGGGAACACGTGGCGGATCGGATCGTATGTTTTGATGTTTCAGGAGTGCCCTGTAAAAATTACCCAGACACTCCATGTATGCCAACATTGACCCCCAAAACCACCCCAATGTAAGCATATACGGCATACATGGAGAGTCTGGGATAAAGAAGATCTCAAGGTCTAAACAGTGTCTAGACTTATTTTTGCGTTTGTGTGCTTGCTGGGTGTCCCAAATCCCCCATCTTCCACCCAGCTGACACCGACCAAAGAGTTGCGGCTGGGTGACCTTCCAATAACCAGCCAGTGGTTGGGAGCAGCTTCCTGCGCTACCCACGAGAAAAACATAATTAGCATGAAAAGTTCACCTTTGGATCTAGCCGACAATTGCGACAATTTTGTAAACAACACATTGATGATGATGATGATGACGACGACGAAGACGACGACGAGGATCGCTCATTGAGCACAAAGCAATGCTTCACAGGATTGGGATCCTAACACTTAGCCTTCTGGAATACTGGAATAGTCACGTCACAGGCCCGTGCTCGACCTACTTGTATTTGTCCATGTCCTGGTACCTGCAATTCCCGCCTGCTCATCCAACATAAATAAACCTGTGGGCAAATATGCGGACATGTCAAAACCGAAACTTTAAAACATTTCAAACCACAGTTTGCTTCTGACCAGACTTCCGCTTCGACGCGCTAGGCACCCCTTTGGAACTTCAGTCCCGCCTTCTTTGGCGCGGCTGCTGCTCCCTGGCAGGTGCGTGAAACTGGGAGGTTGGTAAGGCAGCAAAAGGACTCCAACAATGGTTGCGGACATATCTGGATAAGTGAAAAGAGAGGAGAGACGAATAACAAAAAACACAATGGACAAACAAATCCTGAAACTGCATACAAAAGCCCTGATTCTTCTTGGGCATACATAGAGGTCTTGATCAGATCACTGGGTCAAACACGCTAGTTCTCTTTTCTGCAGGGATCACACCAGCTAGACTGGAATTGAGCACAACTGCCACTGCCTTCATCAAATTAACCAGGCATTCACCTCATTGACCCAGACTATAGACTGGAATTCCAGCAAGACCACCTCACCTCGACACCCCAACCTGCAACCAAGCAGAAGCAACCAACCAAGCAGAAGCAGCCGCGGGCTGCTTTTTTGTTGCAAACAATAACGCCAACGAAATGAGCCACTTGCCATGCCTTCCGACACAGGCATGTCTACCAGCAGTTCAAGGTGCGTATTGGAGAATCGAGGTGTCCGTCATCCACTCACGAAACATCTAAAAACCACCCGATGGGTTATTAGATGGAACAATTATACATCTTCAGGGGGGTGCTCTAAACCACCCTAATTATGACTATAGTGCTGCTCAAAACCACTCAACGCCGAACTCAGCCGCTGATCAGCACCCACCGCTGCTCGGCTTCGCCTCCACCGCTGGGCTTCGGCCGCCCTCGCTGCGACCACGACGGCGCTGCCGTTCTCGGCGCCCCATCGTCGCGGGGCCTGGAGCGCCCGCGAGTCTCGTCGGAAGAAAGTGCCCCATGGAAAGCCTCCAAATCTCAAAACAGGTTGAATTCCACTGAGATCTTGGTGTGAACATGTTGGCTGATTTTTGTTTGCCTTTCCCAAACGAAATGGCATTCTACGACTTCTTGAAACGCCCCGTCTGGAAGGTCTGGGGGCCTGGTTCTGCATTGGCTGGACCGAGGACCTGTTCCGTCTCCATGCCACCCAGCGACCCTCCGACCCCTCCATGACCCGAACAGGGCGGCCTGTGAAGTTGAGGCTTCGAGCCAAGCACCACGGCTGGACCTGTACGTCCTGGGAGAGGAGCACAGTGTTCGCGCCATCCGGGGTCCAAAATATAGACATTATAATGTATACTACATTCTGGACAACCCCCAGAATATAATAGTTATATATATATATATGTATACAATACAAGTATGATATACATTATTTTCATGATCAAACATGTATACATTCTCCGTAAGAACCGAACACAGTCAGACGACATGTTCTTTTCAAGTATGTTCAATGAACTTTTGTTTGCGTGGTTTCATGTCTGTGTTTGTTGGTTGCCGCTTCCTTTCTCTTCCAAGCGCTATATCCATCAGCAAAACCTCTGAATTTCATGTGAAACTTATGGAGGAGCTGACTGCTACTATACTTGTGTTCACAGATTGATTGCTTCTGGGCCCACACCTGCCTTCGATTCAACGTACGTAGCAGTTCACTTGCTTGCCTTAAAAAGGTTTGCCTCCAAGTTTGGCATGGGCATCTCCCTCCGCCTGTGCACCTCATAGCGCCGAATGAATCGCATCGGTTTCGCCGTTTTTGGGCGGCTTCCTGTCCCAGCGAGTGTTGGAAAAACATGTTCTACAAGTTGTGTCTTCAATTTTGGACTATTCCACTTTGAGATACGTTTTAGCCGCAGGGTGGCATCAGAAGGCGCGATCCACCAAGGCAGTATTGCGAATTTGTAGGCGAGGGTTGCTACGCAAGAACTGTAGACAAACAGCACATTTTGCTCATCTGAAACTCAGCGTGTGGCAAAACCCCACCACCAGCTGGCTTCCATTCTATCCCCACTACGTATTACATTTAAGAACTTTGTTTGGAGGCCCTGGCAGCTTCAACTTTGAGCACTCGGTCCATCTCAGTATCGATGCTGTTTATTTGACTTCCAGGCTTCTGGAGCTATAGTTTTTGAGCCAACGTTCCACTTGTCCAAGCAATCCATCAACCCCTCCTTTGCCACACTTTTCAAACACACCTGCATGTCCAGGAGTTGCAGCCTCCACCCAATTGCCGTCTTCCAAGCATCTGTGTGCTGGCCCGCAATCTGACCAAGCCAAGACTTGCTTAACTTTGTGAAAACTGTCAATATACTCGGCCACTTGCTGCAACAACACGTTTGAAACCAAAGCATTGTCAATAATGGATGACAGAACAATGATGCTTTTTCTTTGCAGATCTCGGCCAGTCCTTTGGGACAGTAAATCAAGCAACCCCAAAGAGTAATCTCCATCCGACTGGTTCCATAAAACATGCGCAGTGTCTGTTCGCGCAATCGGCACTGTCAAGTTCTGCTTTCAGTCTCTCAACAAGAGGACTTGTTTTGATGACACGTTGTGTCCATTGCTTGTGACAGCCGCTTGTTTATTAGCCAATCTCTTTGGAGCGAGAAACAAAGTGAGATTGCGCAAAGAGTTGTTCTCCGTGCCACCGGCAGCTCTTGCCAGCATTGACATTTGGTGGCAAATCTTGGCTTCCAGCTGATGCAGCTTTTGATGGGCATCAGCTGCTACAGTGGCCGCTCTAGCTGGTCTTTGGGAATCTGCATAGCTGTAAATGAACCGCATCATGACTTCCGAATCTATCTTGTCAGCTCCCTCTGGAACAACATGCGCTTCAAAGTAAGCCGTCATGATTTTGGTCAAGGCAGCTTAATTAGGCACGCCCCATCAGCTTGACCATCCCGGATGAGATGGCTCTTGATGCTCTTGGAAAGGGGTGCTTGATGGAGAACATGCATATCCTCTATACTGTCTCTTCAAAAGATGGTGGTAGATTCCTCAGGCAGTAGTCCATTCTCTTTTGTTGGGTGAACGGCCCCACTTACAATGCTCACGAAAGATTTTGTGCAATTGCGCCGTGGTCATGTCAAAAATCCCCGTAAGCTCAGAGAAAGGAGGTCGGCACTGAGGTCGGCCAAGTTCTGGCAGTGCGATGTTCTTCAACCCCCCCAAAAGCACACATCTTAAGAGCCTTCTTCACGTGTTCCTTGATGTATTTTGGGTCTCTTGCTGCAGTCTCAGCAGTTACTGCGATCCTCCCGCCTTCTCGACGGAGAGACGAAAACCGAGCATGTTGGTCCTTTGCCGGCCGCCTTGGCCTCCTGGTGCTCCAAGCGATCCAGCTCCCTGGTGCGTTTTGCAGTTGAGAAACGCGATGCTTTTTTGATTGGTTACAGGATGAACACCACAACAAGGACTGTATGTTCAGCAAATCCCAAAAGAGCCAACAAACGCAGCGAGCAAACAATTAATTGTGATAAACTATGATAGCCTACTTACGGTAAGCTGCAGCTTTCCCAATGAATTGTGATCAATCATACTCCCTCTACAATAAGATGGGCATTGAGTGTGCCTGGGGAAGCTGACGTATCAATAAATATGAATTATACGAAAACAACGCAAAAGGAAGAGCTAAAGCGAACGAACAAATCCACAGATTCAGCGCAGCGGCTCCGGTGAACCATTTCTGGTTCCCCTCACATGACTCGACCCTTTCGTGTCCGGAAGAGAGGGTCGAACTCACTCCGAAACGGCGAGATCGAGTCGGGCCCGTTCCCGCGACGGCGGTGGGGACTGGACATTGAACCCATTGACTTTGTGAAGAGGCATTGTGGTCTATGGGAAACTCCGCAGCAGCAGTTGAGAACTTTGTGAAGAGTTTGGCGGAAGCTTAAGCTTTATTCGATGAAAGGCGAAACCATCAAGCAACATATGGCTTCTGGAACAGGCGTGTCATTGAGAATATGCTGTGTCCTGGACACGTGAGCAAACATCGCATCAAAAGCTCCTCTTACCAAGAATTTGTGGGAACAGAACCCAAACTCAGGAGAACCTGCGACAACCAAAACCTGACACTCGGAACGGATGTGTGCAAAACCCGTAAACAAATCTCTCTAAACTTTAGACAGCTGAAGTTGTTGAACTTTCTTTTGCGTTTGGCATTCTATCGCCACAAAGCCTGTGTACAAACAACGTGGACATGTTGATTGCCGCGACAGCCAGGCGTAAAAAATGATCCAGCAACACAGTCATTATACTGGTTTTGTTATATTGCTATAGATTGTTATTGCAATATACCGGTGGACCCGACCACCCTCTTCGCAGAGTCCCAGCCTTCAAAGCCCCTAGCCCATTGAAATTTGTTTGGTTTTTTCTTCACGTGGAGCTCCTTTGGACCAAACTTTGAAGGTTATTGGTTTTGTATTTGCCAATGTTCCCACACTGCACCCCCACCAGACTGTGAACTACAAATACCAGCCGGTGGGTCACTGTTGATACCCATGAACTCAGTTCAACCTACCAAAAAACAAAACACGTCTTGTTTTGCGAACACCAACTCCTGGAACACTCATGTTGAGTGGTCTTCTCCAGCACAATGCTCAAACACGTAGCAAAATTCATGTTACAGCCAACCAACCAACCAACCAACCAACCAACCAACAAACAAACAAACAAACAAACACAAAAACAAAACAAATCAAATCAATACAAACAAACAATAAGTGTGCTCCACACACTCACATATCACCTGGACAACTTGTTTAAGGTACCCTATGCTACCCCATATCTTCTTTCTTCTCATTCCCCAAAACACCGTCACTTTTCCTGTTGGCTGCCTGGATCAGTAGGACATCTTGGACATCAACCGCTTTGGAATTCCGCAAAGTGATGTGGTGTGTGAAGCTGAAGCTCCAAACAACCCCCCCACAAAGAATCACCCAATCTTCAGCATCCTGTGTATTTCTGCAAAAAAAATCTCGAACTCTTCCAGTTCCTCTTCCTCTCCACGGTCCACTCATTCATTCTTGCCCACCTCAGAAGCGATTCCAAGCTTGGAATGGCCTCGCTCGCCTGCACCGACCAAAGAGGACCAGCGACCGGTCCGGGCGACCGTCGCCCGGGTGACCGGTCCGGTCCCCATGCCTTCCAGCTTCTGGGGATGACATCGAACTTGGTTCCAAACACCAAGTTTGACTGCTTTCTTTCAAGCTAGCAACTGGGATCAACTGGGTGCATAGGATGATCTTGGTCCTTTCTTGGTGCCGAATATCATGGTCCCAGCTTGTTGCTCCCTCCAACACAAGCAGCTGCAAAGTCTTTGCGGAGTTGTCCAGATTGTTTGTATATTTTATTGTTTTTTTGTCTGTTTTCACGGTCCACACTCTAGCTCATCCCCTTCACTGCCAGGGGTAGGGGGTAGTGGGCCTGACTGTCCAACGAATGTCCGACGAATGAGGTGGTTCAGATGCTTCAGATGGCAGGCGTCCAGGGGCCTGGCACCCCTCTCCATGATCGACATGGGGAATTGGCGCCCAGAGACTCACCCAACGGCCACGACATGATCGAAGTGAAGAGACGAAACCAAACTGAGACCTCTTTGCAAAGTTCAAATTATTGACCCAACCTTGCAATCTGGACCCCATCGGCTAGGGACCACCATATGTACGGAGCTTTAGTGGTTCTGGATGGTACAGGATATTCTTCCTTGAACCAAAAGTAAGGAGACTGAAGCACGCTGGAAGTCTATTCCACAACTTGTCCCGTTGCACGACCCTCGGCCCTCGACACAACCTCAGCCATGGGAACCTCTGAATCAGTTGGGACAGGTGTCCACTTTTCAGTGTTCACAGCTATTTCAATCCCCCAAAAGCACCCAGGCCTTTACCAGCTTCTGCCCACGGCCAATGGACCACCCCACACTTTTTATAGGTCTCCATTGAACACTCCTTTCGGAAACACTACTGTAGGTGGAGAAAACCCCTTCCATCCCAGTCTGGTGCACGGGGTGCATGGCGTGATGGGCCGAACAAAAGGATTAAAGGCGCGTCCTTCCATTTGGAGCCCTCGTTCAGGAATCATGTCAAAGGATTCTTAGTCTTCTTTAGGTTGTCTTAGTCTTCCAGAGTGGCCAAAGTGGCCCAAAGAATATACCAAATGAACGGCCTCCTATCGCCACGAGACACCCCACACACACCCTCTCGGTGGCCTCGTCCCTCATGAGAGGACGGGGACGAGGACACCTCGTTTCTGGGATTTCTCGGAGTCGGTCCGAACGATCCGCGGAACATCAGAGAGTGAAGCGGGTCACATGCGCGTAGCAGCTGCTTCCACAGTAGCGCGTCCACCTCCGCCCGGACCGTTTCCACACCCCGGACCCTGTGGGTTTTCTGCCGTTGAATACGCGTCCACCTCTACCCGTCCTGGCTAGCAAGAGAAACATCCCAAGGCCCAACACCAGACCACCAGTGTTGTTTGATTGTATGGCACACCATGCGAAGCCGTGATCTCCCCAGCCGCCGGGAAGAACGCCGTCCGATGATTTCATGGTTCTTATACAACCACTGGAACCCCCCCACTGAACAAATCGGTGGCTCGGAAAGACGCGAGACGACGCGAGACGACGCGTCGGATAGTCGACTGAGACCGCGCGCAGGTGGGTGACCAAACAACGGTTTTACGAAGGAGTTGTGACTTTTAAGTAAGTTGGAAGCTTTAAACCTGCTTCTTCCAAGTGACCCTTTGACCATTGAACATTTTTGAACAAAAAACTGTGGGCTGGCTCATCATTCGTTCCAAAAAGGTGATGGATTCACACTCAGGGTACCATCTCGGAATCTCCCATCTCCTGATCCACCAGGGAACTAAACATGAACTCACATGGACACAGAATTCTGCCAAACAAACATGTACACTCCGACTTACCAACATGGAAGTGGAGGACCACGTCTTCCAAGGGGCCATTTTCCACTTCCATGCTAGTGAGTGTACAAATTCTACAAACTGCTTTTCAAAGCCTCTACAATTGGCAGAACCTCCCTAGCAGTACGTTACTAAGTGGAAAATAACAGCTTCAAACAGTCGCTGAGTGAGTCAATGAGAATGGCCGAATCCGTTAATTTCCAGGACTTTCTAATCTGAGTGCCGAATCCGTTAATTTCCAGGACTTTCTAATCTGAGTGCCAAAAGCTCGCTGCTCGACCGAACAAAACGCCGACTTGGAGGCCACAAGTAAGTCTTGTCAGGTACAACCTCTCCAAGCAAATGTCTGAACTATCTGGAAATATCTGGAACACACATTGTGTAGCATACTCATACAAGATATATTACAAGATCATACAAGCAGCTACATACTGGAAGTCAAGTGAACATCATCACTTACACCTATGGCGTCCATCCACTCCCAGTGCCTGTCCAGCCGCCGTGCCCAGCCGCGCCGGATGAACGATCTCGCATTGCTGACGACTGTGTTCTGATCCCAGGGCAAAAGAGGTGTGATCCCAGTCTCAGGACTAGCTCCTAGCTGGGCATGCTACGCGCTGGGCGAGCCAGGCAGTCAGTGTGAGTCAGTGCTTTGATGTCTGCAACTAGAATTTCACATTTTCCTGCTTCAACACGTTACTCTTTCATCTATAGTATAATTATAGCCTTGGATCCATTTGACGACTTGATTCAAAGGAGTGTTGCAAAATGTTGCAAAGCTGATTCTTCCTTGCCCCACAAATGCTGATGCGACTCCCATGAAGCATCCGGGAAAATCATGGAATCAACCATCAAATACAGCTCTCTTTTTTCAGGCCGACGTACGCGACGTACCGTCGTCTATGAGTTCAGGCCTAAAACGTGTCTCTGGTGTCTCTTCTCTACCTTTCAAAAACTCGAGCCTTCCACAGCGTCGAGACTCCTCGCCACTGGTCTAAAACAAGCCCCCCCACCGGTCCGCGTGGTGTCCGGCGCGTGCCGTGCCGAGTTCCGCACGGTTTGGGTCCGACCCCACAGTTCCGTCGTGCACCGTCGTGCGTGGGTGAGGAAGGAATCAGGAATGGTGGCGTCCCCAAGCAGTGGAGATTCCTTCGGATCCAAACCACCCCCAACAAAAATCCCAGCTTGCGTGGCGCCAGTCAGGATCTTCCTCATATGATGGGAGTTTGGAGGGCTTGGATCAACCTTCACCTCAGTCACTTAACCAGGAAGCACCAGCAAGGTGTTATATATCTTGATGGGAGAAACAAAATGCCATGCCCTTTCATTCCCAAAAGCTACCAACTCCACTACTCTTCGACCCACTCCAAATGGAATTTGAACACAACAGTCTCGGTGGGGAATATCTGTTTTTGTTGCAACGAGCATCCACCGTGATGTGATACACTCTCTACCAGCCCCCCTTCCAAAACCGATGTTCACGACGTAGGAAGTGGAGAATCCCATATATACCTAGATCTTCCAACTGTGACATTTGTTTTGCCTGTTGGCTGGTTTTATGGATGAAAAGGCACAAATTTTGCACAGTTGGAAGATCTATATATACAATGAAAGTACGATATACACTGACCAACAAGCCATCAAACACCCACCCCCAACACCAAAATTCATATCATATGTGTCTGCATTAGGGTGGTTTGAGGATGTGGAGGTCAATGTAGGATGTATACATATTCCACTCCTATATGGAATATCAAACCACCCGCAAACGAAACTCGCAACACTTCGATCACTGGAGAACACCTCAGAGCCCACTGGAAAGCGCTCCAGCATTCGCTTGGCAATGCCTGGAAGTGTCAGGCATTGAGTCAAGAGTAGCCCAAACGAGTGCACAGGTGGATCATAACTACCACGGTATAAGGGGTTAGTACTGTAATTAGCCCTAAGGCTCCTGTCCCATATCCTCAGCTTCGGTGGTTTTTAACATGTTTTTACCCCCTGGCTCCCACCCCTGTCCCATCTTCGAAACGGAGGTAGTTGGAACTATGGGCGGGTATCAGTAGTATATAAAACGTAGAGGGAAACCGACCCTCGTACCATTCCGACTCCTTCGACGTTCGGTTCAGGAAAATCCAACCTGTCTACTAACTCAGCCGATCGGGGTCGGAAAGGGGTTCTCCCAGATTTCCCTATTTGTAGATCCACATACCGAACCTGAGAAGGTGATTGGAGAATATGTAGGCGCCAGGAGGGCCCAGTCGTACTTTTTGAGGAGATACGTGGATCCCTGTAGAGTTTAACCAAACACACCCGGGCACATGCTAGCGAAACCTTTGGGACGTGCGGTTTCAGCGAAACCACGCGCGCTGAATTTAGTTCAGGCAGAAAAATGTGCAGGTTGGAGGGGTTCCAAATTGGAAACTGTCAATTTCTCTCATGCATCCCATTGTTGGAACACCTGTAAGATGTATGCTATATGTATACTAAATGCTTGACGCAGGGCCCACATGACAACTATGCCAAGAGGAGAGGGGCACGGGACCAGGCAATCTTTTCAGGCTGTTGTAGACTTGCAGTTGCAAACTATTGTTTAACAACAGTTCTAAGTGAATGCATTTTTCCCCTTTGAACTCCTCTACCAGCAACCTCCAAAAAAAAAAACGGCGCAATTGTCCCAGCCACTACCGTACCCAACACGACGCGCCTCCGTGTCCGAAGGCGATGGCGTGCCAAAGCACCGAATGGCCGGAGGCATCCCTCTGGAGTCCTCCGAGTCGACGCTGTTTTCGGAAACAATATTCGACATCGAGTGATCCAATGGCGATTTGGACGAAGACAGGCCACTAGCCTGACAAAGGCGGACATGCGGATTGACAAAACGTTCTGACGCTTGTTCTGACATCAAATCGTAATGGATGCCTGGGGGCCTGGGAGTGCCCACCGCGATCTGGAGCTTGCAGTTGAGGTGCGGGAGTGCCCGCTGCGATCTGGAGCAACAGCAAGAGCAACATGAATGCACCAGAAACAGCAACAAGAAAAGCAACAGGAACAATGGCAAACATTGAGACCACAAATGCACACGCGCAACAGCATTCAGAAACACGACAATCGGAGCTGCAATGGCCCCAAGTCGCCTCAGCCCGCTGCTTGAGCAAGTGGCACTGGTTGCCGGGGACGAAGATGGATGCGTCCGGGCGGAGTCCGGCGTCCGGAGCTTGCTGTGGAGGTCCGGGGTGCACACTTCATCCAAACCCCTCCTTTGATTGCATGAAGCTGCAACGTGGTGCTTTTCTTCTTGTTTGTGATGACCTTTTCATCAGTGTCCCAGATTGAACTCCATACACTGTTGCCAAAACACGGGCAATAAGCAAGGCATAACCCCCTCAGAAAATGGCACGCCAAGGCGCAACCCACACCTAGACGCTGGCCGGGTGGCAAGGGCGGTGGTTTCGATGTCCGACGAGAAGCTGAACGCCTGGATTTTCAACATTGAAACGGCGGGGATGATTTGTAAACTGCGGCAGAATCTTCAGAAGTCAACAAGCGGGAACCTTGGGTAGCACAGCGATTCAACAGCTGAGTTTTGCGCAGGGTGCGCAGTTCCACGCCGGCATCTCCACCGCCCGGGCCACCCCCAATGCCAATACCACTGACCTGCACAACGATCGCCGCTTCAAATCGGGAATGCTGATTTCCATGTAGACGTGGCCCGTTGCCATTAAGCAAAAACGCTTTGTTCATCCCACGCCTACAGAGACGCAGCTGTGGAACGGCCGCCATCCGTACCACACGACTCATACGACTCTCAAAGAAGGCTTCCAAAGCAGTCAAAGGAGCCAACAGAAAATTTTTATCTCTTCCTCCATCCTCTAAAAGATCCGAGAAATTGAAAAAGTGCACGCCGCAGCCGTCAGGACCTCCACTGCCACCGCCAATGCCACTACCAAGAAAACCTGTTTGCAATGAACGTTCTGGCTCTCTCCATCCACAATCCTTGCACCTTGTCGAAGAGCAATGGCACCACATATACGTGGGATGATTGGCACTGGACTGGCAGGTGGCTGCGACGAGCCGCCGCAGCGTCGTCCGAGCTGCTTCTCGTGTAGCCGCTGCTGCTTTCAGCATCGAGCCTGCAAGCCGAAGCATTGCAAATAGCGGCTCATTCCTACTTACGTATACCATGTATTGTTGTATCCTATAAATGTGGGGTCCGTGGGGTGTTTTTAGAAAGCCTGTGCGTCGGAGCCCAAAACGATTAAATCCATACCGCGAAAAAAATAAATATATTTTAACTTCTTAAAGTTAAACACTAATTTTTGCTCACAATTTATTTTAAAACTAAAAGTTGTCTTTGCAACCTCTTTTTCCACTTTCTAAATGTTCTTTGTTGTCTCTATGTTAAAAAACAAAATGAAAGCTGGCAGCAATTTCTTTTCGCAGCTTGACTCAAAAGTGCACTCTGCCGAGAACAAGTAAGTTAGCACTGTACACGTTACACAGAGTGATGCCAGGGTAGCTGGTCCCCACATGCTAACTAAGCACGAAAACATGCACTGTTTCACACTGCCTTCAAGCGGCTCAAGGCGTCAGCCTTGCCATACTTGATCTTCACCTGCTGCCAGGTCTTGAAGCCTAGCTCCCCTGTTGGTGGTGGACTGCTCCATGTTCATGAAGGCCTCCCTGTAGTTATATATATAAATTACATATTCACACCGCTTTGCGGCGGAAGCCGCTCGCACAGAACCCCCACGAGGATACGGGGTGGTTGGATATTGGTGTGGGAACCAGCAGCTTGTGCTCTCGGAGCCTCGGTCTCAGTCTGTCTGTCTCGGTATGTCTGTCTGTATCGGTCTGTCAGTTTGTCTGTCTCGGTCACATGGACAAACACACCCACGATGTCCACAATGCAGTCTCCCCTGGGCTGCAAAACCGGCATCGCGAACGTGTACCTTCGAAGCCATACAGACAATCATACACACGATATCAATTTTTATCAGTCTTCAAAAGACCTCAAAACACACCATTTCCCAAACAAAAATAGCCCCCCCCCCAAGCTAAAGCTTAAGCTGTTTATCCAGCAGCTGATCATCCGGTTTACTCGAAGCAGTACTCGAAGCCTATACAACGCCTCAGCACCTTCGGCGCGGGCGGATTTGAGCTCTCCCTTGTCTAGCACCCATCTCACCAAGTGAACCATCAGCGTCACTGCTGTTTTCTTCATCGAGTGAATGCCAAGCTGCTGCAGGTTGCCGTCGTCAAAAACGTGCTTGGAACTTGCGGATCTCTTGCTCGATGAAGCGCGCCGCTTGCGCTATGTGGTCGCGCTATGCTCTTCCACATTCGCTTCTCGCGGCTCTGACACGAGTTTCCGCAGCTGAAGCCATGAGAGCATCCGCAGGCAGTTCCGCAGCCTGAGTCATTGGATTATCTGGTGGCAGGGCAGTGGCAGAAGCTACCTCTGGTGCCTCTCCCCCCGTGAGCCAGAACACCAGTAGGGTTCCGGCACCTGTGGTGAGCCGAACTTCGGATGCAGCTGCTGCATGTGGGCCGCCAGCGCAGCAAGTTGCGCCCCCACCGAGGTGGGGGTCCCAAGCACCTCTCCTCATCGGCGCGGAGCTGGGCAAAGGCCTGATCCACCTCCTCATTGAGAGTGGCCATGTCTGGACTTGGCACGTCCACTTCGAGGGTCTCACCCTCCAAAACCTGTCAGTCCTGGACATCAACGACTGCGAAGCCTGATTCCATCGGCGAGGCCATTGCGTGATGTGCAGAAAGTCGCTCGAGGGGGTCGCAGTTTCAAATCTCAAAAACTTCACTGCTTCTCTCTTGAGCCAAAATGTCCTGGTGGGACATTTTGGTGACTTTGGTGAACACAAAACTTGCAACCACAAGCTAAATGCAAGCGTGAACATATCTTCCATAGACCACCTTAATGCTCTGCTCTCGAATGTTTTTTAAGCGGCGCTTGACAGTTTTCATGTGCTCGTGTGGTGCAAAAAGAGAGAGAAAGAGAAAGGGAGAGAGAGAGAGAGAGAGAGAGAGACAAAGAGCAGTGGAATCGATTTAGGGAATTCCGGGGAAATCCTCATCTTCATGTGGACATGACATGGTGATGCGTACGCAAGCTTATCACAAAACATATCACAATTCCAACACATAATAGCAAACATACCCGATGCCCGGTGTTTTTGTTCAGTTTTGGTGAGCCCTCACCATCAAAAACACAAACAAGTGTCTGTCACTAGGCCCACGGACTCTCTCTCTCTCTCTCTCTCTCTCCCCGTCCGCTTCCTCCCCCGCTCTCTCCCGCCAAAGAAACAGAATCTGCCACCATCTCCACCCTAGCCCTCCTCGCCTTTCTTTTCGCCCCCACCGCCGAAACGCCCCCCCGGCCCGTCCCTTCCAGACCGGCCCAAACGAACGTCCCGTCCCCCACGTTCCCGCGGTCCGTTGCAGAGCTGTTGGTGGATGAGCCGAGCGATCGTGATCTCATCACCCACATGGACCTCGAGACAGTCACCGGACGGGGTGCATCGCGCAGGCGGGGCGTTTGGTGGGTTCGTTTCGGGGAGACAGACGCTTCCAGCAGTAGTAGACGGTGTGTACTTGGCAGGGGCACAGGTGTAACTGTTTCTTGAGAAGAATTGCTGAACATGTGAGGGTTTCGGAGGAAACGCACCTCCAAGACTTAAAATGATATTAATCTTAGGGATGCGTTCTGTCCACTGATCCCGGTATCTGTAAAATGAGCGCTGGCCGCGACACAGACCGGTCACCTACCGGGCATCCCCAACGATCCGAACTTGGGATCCCTGGATGAAGTCACGAGGTCAGGCCTGTAAAAGGTCACAAACAAAGACACGAAAGAGGTCGCAAACTGAAGGTCCTGGTACATGGAGTGTTGGAGACGCTGAGACGCCGAGACGCCCTTCATGCTTCGCCGAGACGCCCTTCATGCTTAAACAGGTGCCATTCTATGATATAACATTAGGGTGACTCATTTCTTTTGTGTTTTGTTGTACTTATACATCCATTGTCTGAGACAGCCAGACCAACCTGTGAACAAGAAACTCGGCTGTGAGGTGTTACTTCGAAGGTTCTGATATGGCAATAACGTTAAAGCTATGTTAAAGTTACTTATAAATTGACCCATATTGACCCTAGTAGCTTCTTGCTCCTATAGTATAGTAAGGCCAGGAGCGCCCCTAATTAGTCGCGTCCGATCACTCCCTCCGTTCGAGTCGCGATGCCGTTTACGAAGCCCAGAAAACGCCAGGTCCAGCACCTGTCAGGCTCAACCCGCTGGACCTTCTGGTGACGCGTGCTAGGCCCTCAGGCAGCATGCCATAGCTCCGGAGTACCCACCGCCGGTGCTCGCGACTTCCGCACCGCAGCATAGGCCGCCTGGATCGGGTCAGAGGACATGGCCTGACCTAGCTAGAGCAGGCAAATCAGCTATTTAGGGGAGTTGGGTAGTGGTGGGGGAGGGTCTGGAGCACGAATGCCAAAGGACCTTGTCAATAGTACATGAAGTCGTAGAGGGTACGGCCAGATGAACATCAATGAACCAGCTTGTCCTTGTCCAACGAGTGTGCCATCGGATGCCCCTGTCGCAAGGTTCACGCCTCCGCGGTAGACTTCAATCCCGTCCGGACAGGCTGGGCACTGATATGCTTCAGGACATTCATACTGTATATGTATACATTCGATGTTTTTTCACTGAAAATGCTTTGGACAAGCTGGTCTCTTCGGTCCTTCCTTTAGAGGACTCATCTGACTCATCTGACATCATCCTCCCCCACCCATCTCTGGCGCCTCAGCTGCCTTTGCCACCGGCCCGGGCCCAACCATGGCAGGCACCGCCGCCGGTGCAGCCGTGGGCGTGACCGCCGTGGGGCGGGGAAGGCCCTGCCAAGTGAGGCGGGTCTGACCGATGTGATGGTCGAGATGTCGTGGATGGTGGCGGATCCATTGATGGCTCTCAACTGGGTTGGAATTCACTCACCCACAAGTCCTGGCACAAATATGGCCTTGGGAATCGAAGCGTTTGGGTGGTAAATATAGGTCTAGACAGTCTATACAACATGGAACTACACTCATGTAGTACTTGTTTGAATTGTAATGGATGGGGGATCTGAGATTATGGCACCCCTGCACACAGGTTCACACTCCAAAATGACCCTCCATTGTCCCTCCATGCCATTGAGCCTCTTGGGTATCTGATAGCATGGTAGCTGAACATCTACCCTGACCACACTATAGAAATCTGGTGTTCACAGGAAACACACACATGATTATATATAGTATAAATACACTCCCAGGAATAATCCTGGTTACGTGGATGGCATGGCCTGTTGGATGACCATTGGTCATCCGAAGACCAAACAGGTGGCGCCATCCGTTTCCCTGGAACGTGACTATCTATGATGCTCAAAGCGTATATCGACTCCGACGGTGTCAGCATTGCTCATCTGGTTTCTCTGGTCAGCCACCATTCCAGCCACCCTGTCATCAGTGTTCTGGTCTAAGCGTTCGCCGGTCTCCACGAACTTTCAGCGTTCGCGTCTCGGGGGGATCTAAGACCGTTCGGATCCAAGACCGGAGGAAACCGCATCGAACTCCACCGGATCCATTGCGCTTGCGCGATCAACAACTGTGATCATTCCTATTGACATTGTACTGGTGGGCACCCGTCCAGGAGGCTGGGTGCAGGTGGTGGGTATTGATCATTAACCCCCCGGTCCAGAAGGACTCAATCAACCGGCAAGATCAGGGTCCGCTCGCCTGGCCAAAGGTCATCATCGGATCTTCCAACGCCGCCTGGGCCGAGTTGTCGGGGCGCGGTATGGCCCCGGTGCCCCGGTGGGTGAGGACTAGCGGTTTCGAACCGGACCCAATGCGAAGCATGGAGGGACTTGGTGTTGGTTTCACTGGGATTTTAAGAATTACTGGTTCAGTTTGGGATGTTTGATTCTACAGCTTGTATGGGGTTACTGTTGTGATGCTACATATATAATCATCCTGGAGTAGATAGAATGGACAAATTTTCAAAAACAATTCACTCCTCAAAACCGGCCCTTCCAAATCTTCCAAACCCCATAGATAGAATATGGTTGTAGGGGCTTCTCTTCTTTTTCCTTTGTTGTCCTTTTCCTTCTCTGTTTGTTCTATTTTCTGTTCGTTCTAAAGAAAAGAAAAAAGGAAAGGAACGCTTAGATAATACCAGAATGGGAGGAGTTGATAAGAATCTAATATATATATATACATATCATATATATTCTATCTATAGGGTCAGTCTGAGTCAGTCTTCATAAAATGAAAGGGATGTCAAAAACTCGAGTTTTTGTCAAAAAGAAAAAACACCCCCTACGAAAGTAGATTCTATCTACTCCAGGATGATTATATATATATATCGACCGCATGAACTACAAACTCTCATTCAAGGGAGTGCTTATTGCATCTTGTTGGAGGGGTTCCGGGGTGCCCCTATCACTTCTGGTCCAACCACTCAACTCCTTTCAACTGCAAGTACATTCATCGTCTCAATTTGAATCCATGAATCACAAAACGACGTCCTACTACTTTACTACTATAATACTATATATTGCGAGTGGATCTTAATCAGCGTAGTTTGAAGCTATCACTGACGGTCCATAAGCGGCGTAGCGTCGGAACGGAAACCGCACCTTTTCTAGTCGCTTGATCCTTGAGCCAAAGTACATATGGTATATATATATATGTACATGTTGCACTGTACATGTCGCTGCACTTCCATTCGCACCCCCCATGTGAACGGTAACAATATGTTCCGATCACACACGAAAATTTAGGGATGTAAGTGCTACAAAGAAATTGTATGATTTGCCGCGAGACTCATATGAGGCTCATACTACAGAACATGTCGGACTAAAGCGGACTTTTACATATAAAGTGTGCAACTATGGCTCAGAACCTATGAAAAAAAAATCGAATTGAACAAGTGAGACAGTCACGAAGCCTCGCTCAGTATCCACTCAAAAGAGCTTCGCTTTGATGTAGACCCGAACTGGTGACTTCCACGTAGATGTCACATCGGCAATTGACTTCACACTTCTCAAAGATGTAGGTTTTGGTTTGGATACACTTACAGAACGGCAAGTCGGAGAGACAGTCGGTGATTGTCTTCCTTCCATTATGCTCATGGTATCAAATCAAATTGTCGATTTGCAATGGTACACTTACAGCGTTCCAGGTCAGATAGACATCCGGTGAATGACTTCCTCCCTGGTTTGCATGGTATCCTCATAGTCGTTCAAAGAAATCACCACTGGTGATAACCTCTCCATCCACGATGATCCCAGTTGCCCTGAGCATCCCACCGATCATCTTCTCCCTTCTTGGACTTTCCCTTGGACTTGCTCTTTCCCTTTCCCTTTTCAGAAGGTTGAGGTACTTCGCGACGTTCTTGCGTTAACGCCGGCCTCCAAGATGTTCCAGATTGGCCTCCTCCTTTGGAATGTCCTCGGGATGATGAAGAAGTTGTACCTTCTACTGCATGTGCGTTGGCGGCAAGATCTTCCTGCAAAGCTTGCTCAAACGCATCGGTAGCACTGGATGGTGATTTATCATGTGGTCTGGCTTTTGGAGCAGCTTTTGCCTTGATCTCCTCTGCTGATGAGGGCCCGAAACTCTTAGGTGCTGCTGAAGGTTTTGGTTCCTCACTTGGTGCTGACGACGGCTTGGCCTCGGTTCTGGGTGTAGATGCTGGCTTAGCTGTTGCCTTGGCTGCCTGCTTCTTCTTGCCCTGAATCTCCTTGGCCCTATCTCCAAAGCCTAGACGATTGGTAAGAGCTTGAACATGCTTGTGTTCTATCACGCTCATCCATCTCTCTGTATGTCCAACGTTGGGGTTTCTGGCCATTGACTCTATGACTTCCTGAGCTTGTGGGGGCAACCTGATTTCATGTTGATCAATGATCAAAAGAATAGACTTCTCCCACTTGCTCTTCATTCTCGAGTACATGATGTCCAGAGGATCGATCACCTTGTGGTAGGGTGATGTAATGTCGGTTCTGAAATAAGAATATGTCCGACACCCATAAATCGCATGGATGCACTTCTGTACCAATTCAGTCATTGCACTGGCTTTCTTCGCTTTCAACTCCTCAAGCTGGGCATCAGTCAAGTCGGTGGAGTATTCGAAGTTGCCATATTCCTCTTTGAAGGATTTCGGAGTATGACCGAATGATAGGATCATGAGTGCTACCTTGCAAATGAATTGTTCTCCTCTGAAGCGGTGCCAGGCCTCCTCAGTTGTAATATTGTTGTCGTTGGCAAAGTTTAACATCATGTCATCTGTTGGATCCAATGGTCTCCCATCGTCATCGATTTCAGTGGAATCTCCTGTACCGAACTTGCTTATCACATCCAGACGCTTCTTTTTCCAATTTGCTTTGAAGTCGGTAAGGCTGGTGCAATAGTAGCTCTTGTACATCAGGGAGATCATGTTCAGCACACATTTGACCACATACCTATCCATCAAACCCGATGCATTCATGGAGACGTCCTGACAGTAGGCTCTCTCTTGATGCGCATAGATTCGAGGTTCCGGTACTCGACAATAGATGGGGAGATCTTCGTTGTCTCTTCCTTCTTCGGGATTGAACTCGGTCGCTCCATGCTGTGTATAGTATCCCGGTTCATCACGATCTGTCGGTCGATTCGCCTCCGGATGTAAGTCGTCGGTGACGTCTTCATCCTCGGGCTCACCATCTTGACGTTTCTTCCCCTCATATTGTTGTGTGCTCCTCTGGATCTCGATGATCACGTTTCGTTCGTCTTCATCTTCTAGATCAGAATCACGACCGTAGTCGATCTCATCCTCATTGAAAGATGGGGTCTCGACATTGTCACTCTTGAGGTTCTCTGCACCATCAGACGGTTTGGAAGGATCTTGATTGTCCATGTCCTCGTCGTCATCAGCTGCTTCAGTTTGAGCGATGTCTTCTTCCCAAGCCTTTCTGATCTCGTCCATAGTGGCCTGATCCAACATATCTTGATCATCATGTTCAGGCTTCTTCTCTTCCTTCTTTTCCTCTTCATCGTCGCTCACAAGATCAACAGGTGAATCGGAAATGACAGTGTTGCGAATACCACACGAGAGTAACCTGCCTTGACAAGATAGGCATACGGACAAAGATGAAGAAGTCAAATGCATACATGATGGACACAAAATATTGCCATCCACGTTGCGATACCCTTCACATGTTCTGGAGATGATTTCGTCCCAAGTTTCCTCACTGATGGAATCCTCGATCAACTCTCCATTGTCATCGAATCGTACTTCATCGATAAGGGACACGAGCTTCTGGACGTTGTCATCTGTCGCCGAGGCTGACTTTGTGACTTCGTCGGCTCTCCCGAGGATGGTATGCTTCTGAGCAACCCAAAGTCCATGACGTGCCGCTAGAACAACTTGTTCTCCAGTGCTTCCCAGCAGGAGTCTCCTCCATGCCTGACCGTGGTCATCCCAATACCAAGCACCTCGTACACATCTCCATGGAACTTCTCTAAAAACAACAGTGTAGGAATTCTCCGAAATTCTTCCTCCAAGCTTCCTCAAAGTCATGATTGGAACATAAAGGCAAACGGGCATTCCCCCTCTTGGCCATCTTGATCTCAGGATCTTTGATGATCGATCATCCCATGGCGCAAAGTGGTTGAAGAAGACACTACCTCTATATCCATCCATTCCACCAGGGACAATTCCTAGTTTCATGATTGACTCAATGTTGGAAAGCGATGTCATGTGAAAGCTTCCTCCAAGCTGCATTGCCACATTCTCTGGAATGAGATGTGAAGTCCATACAGGATATATTGACACATCCTCTTCAAGAACAGTCTCTCTTCCAGAATTGTGAGAGGCAACGGCTCGAATTGCACAAGGAACGATCCAACGTTCATGCTTCAGAAATGATGGTGCATCTGTGCCGTGAAACATGAGGTTTGCCCAGTATCGCCTTTCCTCTTCGAGTGAGACATCCTCCTTTGAGATGCGAACGGCGGCAATCTGATAGCGTACTCTGTTCTGCAACTTCTTTGCATGCCACATCGCCTTGCATAAATATTGGTATCGCTCTGTCTTGATATCTTGCTCACGTCGGGTACCTGTGATAGTACTGATATTGACACCATCGTTGAAGACATGATCATATTCCAGGATCTCATCGATGTTCACCCATCCACCCTCATTGCACTTCGGGGACACATGAGGTTTTCGACCGCGGTGCGATTGAATCCCATTATGCTTTCCCACTCCATGCCTGAGTAGTCTATTGAGTCTGTGGCTAATCTCGTTGACCCATTGACTCTCCTCGCTGAGCTTGTCGATGCGAATTGCTGGGTTCATCTTTGGTGGATCCGTGTAAGTTGCATCTATCTTCGGTCCATTCCAGTACTCCACATAGAATGTAACTCCATACTGAGGAATTATCTCAATGTTTCCTCTATCGCAAGTCACCTCAATCTGCCGATATCCAGCCTTTTGAAATTGTTGTGGATCAGGAGCAAGGTCCTTCACTTTGGGCATCTTTATTCCGAGTGCTGCAGCCTCCTGAATAAGTGCATCAAGTTCCCTCTTTCCATCAGGACCTGATCTATCAACCCTGTGATTTGCGACCTTGTGCTCTCCTCCTTCGTCATCGGCAATGTCAAAGAGGTCGACGGGCTCTTTGAATCTGGTGACGAAGCTGGCGTTCCCAAAGGCCTTCTTGGTTGCCTCGACCGCTTTTGCGTATTCCTCTTTTGCAGAGTCTGACGAATGTGGTTCACCTTTGGCTCTCGGAGAGTAAGGTGGTACCTTACTTCCTAGTTCCGGTTCTTCTTCGGGAAGTTCAATGTCTTCATCATCCACATCCATGTAGTCTTCG